CATATATATATATATATATATATATATATATTGAGCCTCTATTTCTTCTTTTGAATGATAATATAAAAGGAAGATAATGTCTTTGAGAAATGAGACTATCCTGAGATTTTTATTCATATGATATAGGGTGGAACAAATTCATATGCCTTAAAATATTTTTGTTTGGATTTTAATAAAGCATAGTCAACAGTCTTATTATTTTTATTCTGAATCTATACCGTGAGAACCCTTGAAACTTGAATGTTGTCACACATTCCAAGTAACCACTGACTCAACCTCTGTTGAACTTTTTCTAGACAATGGGAAGAGGCATTGTATTAGCATACCCACCAAATTTAAATTGTAAAAGAGAACAGTGCCAAAATTCATACAGTAGTGGAAACAATGTTTTGATCCAGGTGACAATATATGAAGAAAGACAGAATAGAAGGAAAGGTATTAACAGAAAGAGAATGGGGAGGAAACCATGCCTTTATTTTTTGTTTATTTATTTTTCTATGTACTTCTTTTTTATTTAAATTAGAAACAAGCTTGTTTTATATGCCAGTCCCAGTTCCCTCTACCTCTCCTCCTCCCCTGCCCTAACTTTAAATTCAGATTGAAGTGGGTTTCTCTTAAGGACTCACTCTATATACCTAAAGACAGGGTTTGTATTCTGACCGGAAAAAAAGACGAGTGAGAAATATGGGGTGGGGAAGAAAACACAGTATGAACTGCAGGAAATTTTTAAGCTTTGCTTCCAATGAATACTGCTGATAGCATGTTCTCATTAACTTATTTTTTTGACAGTGCATGGAATTGAACCGGGGGTTTTACGCCTACTCCACAAACACTTTGCCACTGAGCTATAATTCCAACCATTATTTTAGTACGATACTGGATATAATTACCAAATTATATAGACACAAGTTCTTTAAAGTCCTTTATTCTGGGGGTGGAGGGTCAGCTTTGAAGGGATGCAGCTTAATTTGCCAGTGACGTGAACAGAGAATTTAATTGGGAAGGACGATTTTCTAGTGGAATTATTGGTGCCACCTCACCCCAAGTGCTCTCTTTAACCTCTGTGTACATGCAATTTAATGTACCAAATTCCCACCAAGTACGAGGCAATCAGCACTTCCAGAGGAATTTAGTGATTACAATCCATATAAATAGTATGAAAAGTGTTCTTCTGAATCGGACATCGGACTAGATCCCTGACAACCAGCAGAGGGAAGGAGGGAAACATCTTCCTAGGAAAAACAGACTTAGAAACAACACACCTCTTTCAGAAGGTAAAACACATGGGGGTTTCCCTGAGTTACACTAGTCCCTTCAGTTCCACGTACTACCTGTAATCTTGGACAGTTACCCCCAGGTTGTCACCCTTTGCTTCTGCATCCGGAAAGAGGACCTAATGGGTTTTAGCACAAAGGTTGCTTAGCAGCAAAAGGTGAGAATGGACAATGAGAAGGGCAAGACAGTGTCTCTGCTTTGCAGCAGCATGTCTATGGTACTATCGGTAGCTTCTCCAGTTGACATGAAGCATGTCTCATGTGAGAACATAAGATGTTATTATTTAACCTGCTGCTTTGTCAGCTTGGCAAAGGTTAAGGTCGCAAGATGTCTGGGTATTCCCAATCCACTTGCAGGTCAATCTGTGTGTCTTCCAGGTTATCTTGATATGAATTTAAACTAGAATTGCACATTTAATGAAATTCCTGTTCTGATTTAATATAGTCCTTGGTGTGTAGTTTTAACATTAGAGTTTGGGGTAGATATATAGGACAAACCATGTGTTTTAGATTTTCATCAAGATGATTAAATGTGGCATCAACTAAAGATGAATGGCTATTGATGGATTATGTTCACAATCATTTAGCTTCATCTATAGAAACATGTGAATCAAGACACTGCTATGCTTCAAAGCTCCTGGGAATATGTGTTCCATTTACTCCACAGAATAAGGACATTGTCTGTGCAAATGGAACCTTAGTAGGTCCATCTCAGTTAAAGCACAGTAGGAATAAGTCCCTCTGTAGAAGCACTGTATAAGATTCTACAGCACTAGCATTTCCTTTTCATGTCATTTTGGTGGCACACATCCTGGATGGATATAGAAAATTGATGCCAAGCACCTGAATCTGCCCTAGCTAGGGAAGCGAAAAGAAATGCCTCACTTGAATTTGAGAAAAGACAGCATTCAGATTGGGGTGGAGGAACCTTCAATGATTTCATTTTGTGTAGTTTTCTGCCCAGCATTAAATCCTATCCTCAAATGGAATTATTAAGGTTTAAAATACATAATTTAAGGGGAGTGGGAAAGCTATTTAGTGTGTTGTCTCCCAAATGCATTAAAAATATCCCCTTTGTAAGGCATCTGGAGGAGCATGCAAATTACAAGGATGCTGAGAGCCACTATTGAAAACTACTGTGCTGTGTCTTCATGTGATGTTTAAGACAATTACTGGAGGTAACTACTACCCACATTTCTTCCAGAATCATTTCTGAGGAACAGCTAAAAATACTGTTAACTCTAAGAGACTCAATCTGTCAAAATGTATTAAAGTGACACACTGCTAACTCTAGTTCAACCCAAAAATTCATTCTGTAATGAAATGCTTTATATAAACTCAGGAAAGCTGGGACACTCACAGCTCTCTCCCAAATTAGCAGGTATTTGAGACCTGTGCTAGTGTGGTAGAGAAATGGTAATTTGACTCCCATAGAGGCATACTAATGGCCCCTTAATACATATCCATAGATATATTTGCTTTTACGAATATGTCTAAAGAACCTAGAAATTACTTTTCTCCAAAAAGGATAAGGAACTGAGAAAGGCCAAGTGTGGGTCAAAAGGGGGGTCGTTTCTGTCCCTTGCTTACCTTCCAATGTATCCCCTACCTGAAACAACATGGATATTAACATATGTGTATGCTCCCCAACACAGGCACCTGTGCACTTTTCATGGAGGCAAGTGCTTCTCTTCTATTATAAAATGATAGTGGCATACTGCAGGTGTGCTGTTCCTTGCATTCAGGATATTCAAAACCTCAGATTACATTGACATCTGGCTAGAGCCAGATGAACATGTCCACAATAGCTCCAGTCCTCTTGGAACATGGTAATGTGGCACCACAAGAGTCAAATTGGGGGACAGGAAAAGCTGGCAGACTGGCTGGATGCTGGATGCTTTGGTCATAGGCAGTACCTGACTGAACTAGTAGAGTTCCATTCAGATGCATCCATCACTGAAGAGTTCATGCAGTTGAGGGAAGTTAAAGATGGTATTTTCTCCTTGCCTCACATCAATGACAAAAGGCAAAGGATATTTTCCTCGGGATCTGGCTTTTCATAATTCACAGATCCTACTGTCTGTGCTGGTTAGTTTTGAGAATTTTTGTTGTGTGTTTTTGTCAACTTGACTCAAACTACAGTCACCTGAGAAGAGGGAACAACTTCACTTGAGGGTTATCTTCGTCAGAATGACCTGTGGGCATTTTCTTGATTAATGGTTGGTCTGGGGCATAGTATTTGTCACAGCAATAGGAAGCAAAGCAGAACAATCTTCTCAAATCAGAGGTGATCTCCTTGTAAGCACAGGAAGAACACCCATCTAGAAAACACTGTCTGAAAAACACTTTGATGCCTCAGGATGACTTTCCACAGTCCATCTTGGCTCCACCCTCCCCTGGTCCTGGCTTGAAATCTCCCTTTTGATGTAGAAAAGAGTTCCATAATTTGACTAATGACTGTACTTTGTAGAAAAGTTTTCTGGTCTTCACTTCCATTACATCTGCAAATGTCTGAGGCTTTGCTATAAGCAAAGAGAAGAATAGAGAAAATGTATGTCCTTGTGAACATCTTGATCTCCACAGTTCTCCATCTCCACTAATCTCCACTAAGTAGGTTGTGATCTGGACCTAATGTCTACTAACCTGTTTTTTTTTTTTTTTTTCTCTCGTGTTCTTTTCATTGCTCTTTTGACTCTTGCTTGTGTAAATCTCACACTTCCCAGTACCCATTACTTTGTCTATTCTCTTCTTGAAGCCTTCATGAATGTTAAATTCCTGTTTATTTGTCCATTGTCCCATGAGCTCCCTTGATCCAGCTGTACAGAGTCAACTTCTTAGTTCTACTGACCAATTGAGCCATTGAGTGGTACTTGAATTATAATGCATAAGCTTCACTGGGACGATTCTCAATGACAGAGATTTGCACCAGCCCTGCCCCCCATGTCATACTCCCCTCCCCCACAAAGATCAGGATTTGATTCATGGAAGACCCAGAATATATTGCTAATAAGTTCACCAGGTGACCCCAACACAAAGGATCCAGCACCCCTTTAAGAAAGTCTCTCTCCTCTAGGAATGTTTCTTTTGCTTCTAGATTTCTGGAGTAAGAACAAGAAAACATTTTCTTCTCCTCAACAAGATTTTTTTTTAATTCCTAGAAATCCCATTTCAAAAACATTAGAATTTAAGAATAAGATAGCTTAATGTGAGTAAATGAAATTGCTATTAATCACTTTTGAAGAAGATGTAGGAATCCCGGAACATGCTCTAATTTGCCTCACTTTTGTACTGCCTCCACCAGCTCTGTGTTAACAGAAACAATTGTTTATGAAAAGCGTGGTTTAAGATGAAAATACTGCGTCTGCAAAAGGCAGGAAACAGCGTCAGAGAGTAAGGACTCTGCTCTCCCAACTGGAGAATCCTGTATTTGTAATAAATTCCTTTCGCTCCGGATGAGTTCTGCATTTTCAATGAGGTTAACTTGGCAACATTCTAGTTGATTTTAATAAAAATAGCTGCTCTGAGGACAGGGAGCTGAGGTTGCCAAATTTACAGCTGCCTTGCACAATTACTCTTACACCTCCTTCAGGGCTACTTAGAACCAGTAAGCAAATTAAGTGTATCGATTGCAATTTTGTTGGACTAACCCAGCTTATTTTTTTCTTAAGGAATAAACTTGACTCCTTTTAGTATGTGTCTTTTCAGAGTGATCTCTTTTCTTTTCAGCCATAACACAAAGACAACATCATGGCTGGATCCACGACTTGCGAAAAAGGCTAAACCTCCAGAAGAGTGCAAAGAAAATGGTAGGTTATTAAGTTTTTATGTTCTTCAGCCGTTTGCACTTTGAGGATGTTTGTGAGTTCTTAAAAGAGATCCTTATGTAAAAAGGCAGTGGTCTGACTGAAACCATTTCTAAATGTAATATTTGCTGCTAGGATAGGAGAGTAAACTCCTCGGCGTTTCAAAGGGGCCATGTGGTTCACTGTCCCTCCCAGAGGAGATGCTGCAGAGTGTCACCTCCCTGTCATTTCTGTGTGTTCTCTGTGACCTCAAGCCTGACTTTCCCCCACCTACTAAGGATGTTTCATTTGCAATATATCTCTCGGAGGGTTCTGGTCTTTTAGCTGAAGTCAGATAGGATGCAGAGAAAAACAATATTGCAGAATTGTAAATAATACTTCATGTCTCCTTCGAAGGCAACAACATTTTGCTGCTTAGTAAGGAGCCTGTATTTAAAAGACACGCTTTATTCTATAAGCAGACAATTAACTAAACATGACTGATGAGGGTCCCAGGTGATCCTTACTATGTCCCAGGTCCTGGTATAAACAAACACAGAGGCTTGCTTAAAAATGGACTGTTTGCATGTATGAGAAGAGTTTTGATTTTTTAAATAGAGTCTTAGATGAATGCAAGCCTTGTTTTTGAATTAGTAAATTACACAGATGAAGTCTGTAATTGAGGATCCTTACAATTCCTAAAAAATATTTAGGTAATGTCAAAATGAGTACTTACCATTTACTTAAAGTAAATAGCAGACTCTCCTAATGGTTTATTACTTGGCCACATTAGCAGCCTTTTTATGATCAAACTTTTAGGGCCCTGAATGGAAGCACATGTCACTAATGGGAGCAAGAGTGGTAGAGAATATTTAAACTTTTTAAAAGTTTGTTTTAAGTTAAGAAAAATTCTCTCTAATTCTAAAAGCTCTTTTAACAATAACTCTAACTTCCTGAAATAATGTTTTGGGTTCCTATTATAAAAGCAAAATAAATATACTTAACTACTAAGTTAAATTAAAAATTAGAAAATTCAATTTTATGTATGTAAAAATGTGTATGTAACCAATTTAATCAAATGTGTGTTTAACTTTCTTTTTGTAATTGTACTTATTACCACTTTAGAGCACAACTGATGTAGCCTATAAAATTATTATATAATCTAATGTTTTAGCACAATTAGATTATATTGCATTGACACCAGTAAGACACGTATTGCAAATTGTGATAGACTGTAAATTAAAATTACCCTGTGTGCTACATCTGAGAGTTAATTTACTTAGGCACAGATGCGTAGCTTTAGTATGCTTTCCTTAAATAAATCTAACAATTTTTTAGTTTGTGAAGACTGCATTTCTCGGCTTTCTGGCTCCTTTAAGTTACTCTTCTCATTTGAAATAAAAATCACTAAGATCAACACACTATGCCCTACAAGACATGTACAAACAAGAATGTGCAGTTTACAGCATCCCACTGTTAATTTTTTGCACATCTATATTTATCTGGGTTCTCTGGATGGCAGACGCTAAGATCCAATGCTAATGCCTGAAATTGTATATCATTGAAAATTGAGATCCAGCGGCCACTTGGTCAGAATGTCTTAGTGCTAGTCAGTTTCTGTTCATTTTCATTTTCTACAAAATAATTCATAGATGGGGTGCAGTACATTAAAAACTCTCATGTATTTCATTTGAACGCTACTATTCAGGACACATAATTTATGTTTTCTTCCCAAGAAAAGTGCTTTGGGGTAATACCATTTCTCCTGATATATTTTTTCTTTTCTTTAAATAACATGAATTACTACTGAGTGTTTAAATGCTAAGGGATTGCTTTGGGGGCTGTTGGTTCAGCCAATTGTGCATCACTGTCAGCTCAGACACACAAGGATGGTATAATTTTCTGAATTCTGGAATGTGTGCAAAATATGTATTTAAAACCTAAAGGTCTTCTACATGGTGATGTCTTTCTCCAGATGAGACACTCACTACCTCTCCAGGCAGAGAGAGTCACTGTCAGTTGCTAGGATCCAATCTAAAATGGAGCCAATCTGAAGTTGGACTGAGCTCTGATGAGACAGGGTTGATCTCTGGTGTGTCCTTATTCTCTGGGCATTTGTGTGCCGGGGTTTTCAGCTAACAGCCTAGTGCAGCTTGGCAAACGCTAGCTGAAAGGGGGCAGATAGTCTTCAAAAGGCACCCCAGCTTCTTCACACCTACTTCTTAGGCTACCACAGTCAAAGTGAATATATGGATATATGAAGGTCAGATGATGTTCCAAGAAATCCTTACTTGTAGACACAATAATGTAACTTTTGTATGCTTTCATGTAACAAAGTCATCTTCCTTTTTCTCTATATCTGTTTAAACTAAACAAACTTCACTCTTGGACAACATAAAATGAAGGTGGGCTAGATTTGATAACCTAGGAGGATTTTAGTCAGTTTCATTATGAGGGTCCTTTCTCTTGGTGTGTCTTGAACACTATTATTTTTAAATGATTTGTTCTCAAGACCCTAGGACTGTAGACAATCTCAGCTGTTTTTGTTTTTTTTTTTCATCTGGTTTTTAATTTTCAAGAATTTTAGCTTAGCTTTTGTCTGTATATGCCTGTAGACCTTACAGTTGTCTGAATTTCACAAATGTTGGGGTTGTCTGAGAGCTTGGAATTGCCTGTTTATATTCTGTGTTTCGTTACTACAATCTCTGAGGATTATGAATCAATGTGCTCATTTCACTTACCTATATCAAGCCTCTCTTCACAAATCAGGTCTGTACTCAGATTTTTAAGATGCCCAGGTCAATATGAGGAGCTGGACATCTTTCTGAATCTCACCAGGTTTCTCTGCTACACAAAATTTTAAACTTTCTATCCCAACCTGTAGCCTACTGGACACATTTGGCCAAGGATAGCTATGAACAAACACAAAATGTAAAACTACTCAAACATTATATGAGAATTTTTGTTAGGTCTCTCTCTCTCTCTCTCTCTCTCTCTCTCTCTCTCTCTCTCTCTCTCTCTCTCTCTGTGTGTGTGTGTGTGTGTGAGAGAGAGACCACATCATGTTGCACTGTCAAAATGAAGTTGCTTTCCAATTCCTTTGCTTATATTCAACATTTTACCCAGATTTACATATAGGTCAATCCTACCTGGCAGGGGAAATTTAAGTGCAGTTATTTTAAAATGGGGCTTGTGGTAAGAAACAATTTGGGTATATAAGCCAGTCCAGACTGGCCTCAAACTCATCCTCCTGCCTCACCATTCTGAGTGCTGGCATTATGGCAAGCTTCTATACTCTTCGAGTTGAGTGCTGTGTGTGTATGAGTACTTGCTGTGGATCTGTTACTATATACATCTTCACATCTCTTTACATGTCAGTTATAATTGGAAGCTAAGTAGAAGAAAAGTGGAAGGAGTTTTCAACTGACTCAAATGACCCTTAGGAAGAGAAAAGGGGCCAAGAGCATTTCTCCTTGGTGTCAGGGGAGAAAGGATGATCTGATTTGAGCATGTGTGAAATGAATGCCCTTTCTGTTTGCAGGAAGGAAATCACTTAGCCCTTTTAACTTGGTAGCTAATACACCCACTAAACATAAAAGCAACTCCCTTCTCACAAAATCGTTTAAAATACCAAAGTCATTGTGCTCTGTGAATCTGTCATAGAGCTGTGCCGTTTGAGAGCTTCAGTACCAGGCTACATGGCAGAAAAAAAGTCTCCACCTACTACTGGAGTCTAATAATAGAATTTGGAGGAGTGCTGTTTAGTAACCCAATATAGTTGTATTTCAAATGCCACAGAAAAAAAGGTTAACTATTGAATAATTTGGATGCAAAGCTGGTTAAACTACGTGTAAAATACCATCATGCTTCACCCTCAGAATCAGCAGTGTGGTGCTTCTCCACAGACACATTCAATCGTAGCTTCCAATTGTGACAAATCCTACAAAAACCATTAATCAGGGGAGTCCTTGAGAGGCTGGGAGACAGGTCAGTTAGTAAAGGGCTTGCTACACAAACACGAATATCTGAGTTTGATATACTGTATACCAACAGTTGCCTGTAATGCCAGCACAGGGATGGTGGAGATGGATGGATCCCAATCCCTGCTCATTGGCCAGACAATCAAACTGAATCAGTGAGCTCCAGGTTCAGTGAAAGAGCCTGTCTCACAAAGTAAGGTGTAAGTGACTGAGGAAGACAATCTGTGGCAACCTCTGGCCTCTTGCACGTGTACATACACACACATGCAATCTTCACACACAAGTGTAGCCCCTGCAGGCACAAACTCTCTCTGTCTCTGTCTCTGTCTCTGTCTCTGTCTCTGTCTCTGTCTCTCTCTCTCTCTCTCTCTCTCTCTCTCTCTCTCACACACACACACACACACACACACAAATACATCCCCTCAAGCATACACATACACACATTCATGTACACACACACATGTATACACATGCATGCACAAAATAAACCGGCTTGTGGAACAGCTCTGTTTAAGTTGGAATATGACTCAGCTTAGTACCAACTCCCATTGCTGTGTTCAGGGGAAGAAATCCAGTCATTACATAGCCGGGAACTGCTCCAAACCCTCTCAGGCAAGGGAATGATTCTCCATTGTGATTCTTATCTTTCTTCCAAAAAGACAGCTTCCTATATAGGAAGGACTGTGCTCATTGCCCTGTCAGTTCAGTTCCTTTCCATTGCATTCAGCCAGCACGGCTCCTAGATGACAAACAAGGACACCACGGATTGAGGGGAGAGCTGGCCTACCTTAACAGCTTTGGGTTTCTCTTAAGGTTCTTGGAGAGTTGGAAGAGAACAAAGCATGTGGGCTAAAATTGTCCATCTAGCTAATTCCAGCCTGATATTAATAGATTGGTGTTTTCCTCTCCATCCTGCTAAAATAGCTCTAAATTTTCACAAAGTAATAATTACTTCTGCATCAACTAACTAGATGGGCTCCTTTCCGAATTAAGTATCTGAATTATGAGTGAGTTTTCATTTGTTACTACAGAAAAATAAGTCAG